CAATATAAATGTATACAAAAGCTTTCCTTGAGGAATAAAAGCAATTAGTTTGTCAGTTTTCTTGCTTACATTGCGCAGAATTGAATTCTATTTTCACATTTCAATATTGACTTAAAACTTTCGTGACTACAGAAATTCATAGTCTTGGTTCTTTCGGTAAAGTCACGTAGATAGAAAATAAACTTAAAATAACAGATAATAAAGTAAATAAAATGTAATAAAAAATTAATTGAAAATAATAACATTTTTTTATTTTATTATCTGTTATTTTTATTTTATTTTCTATCTACGTGACTTTACCCAAGGAACCAAGAATACAGTAATAACACGTCCAATTAATCTCATGAAACACTGATCAGTGCCATAATTACAGCTGGTGGAAGCTTATGGTGAGTACAAGCACATTCTAAATAAAAATGTGATAGGCCCACGAATGCCGAGCTAGTGAAGGCAAGGTTTATACTAAATACACACACTTGAATATGCAGGTTAGTGCTTTAGAGAATAAACAGACACGCCCTGAAAAGCACGCTATATAAATTCTCAATCGAATAGCCTTCTATTCGCCCCGCATCTAATCTGTGTAAAATATGGGTAATGTGCACTGTGGCCCTTTCCAGCTTTTATAATCCCAGCCCCAAATCTCACAACACAGCAAGGTCAATGCCCGGGCAGACACGGAGAGAGCTGCATGGACACGCTAATGAAGTGATTATCGGGACAAGTGCTGCACAAGAGTGATCAGATTGGGGCGGGCGTTTCAAAAGTGATGGACCCATCCGGGAATCTGCATTAGGCATATTCTTTGCACTAATTACCGTTATCTTTTAATCGTTTTATTTTATGCAATGGAATTAATTTTATCCATTGTGATGTGGGGGTAGCGATATCGCAAACCCCTAGTTATCCGCCGTGGTTATCCGCGATTTTACTCCACTTAACCGTGGGGAGAAAAAAAAACCCGCACACGATCGGATGAATTTACCGCTGCACTCCTCTCGTCCGCAAAACACTTTGGAAGGGGAAAAAACCGGGGGATAGCCGAAGAATATAGGCATGCGGTTATCATGAGTAGTCACAGATCCTCCACCCTGGCGGATGAGATGTGGAAAAGCGTGTCACGGATAAGAGGCGTTCGACCATATAAAGTTCTACCATATATAGTTCTACGGTACATGCTCTGGTTGGATTAATACTCAACACGTGGCGACGTCGCAAGAAAGAACGACACCGCCACGATATTTGTATCGTAACTTTATTTGTAATTATGTACACATATTTCAACAATTAAATAAGTAACACTTCATTCAATGTGTACTGTCACATGTACTGGCACAGTATAAAAGGCAACATGGATGTGCTGTGATTGAAAATATTGGGTCATTTGTATATGTGTATTCATTATCAGCGCCCTCAGTCCACAAGCATGAAAAGACTTTGACACGAAAGCAGCCGAGAAAAGATTGAAACCAAAGTTACTGGTCCTAAAAGACGGAATTAAACAGATCAATTTTAAGGCAATAATGTCACTTCCAGGTGAAATGGTGGCACGGTAGTTATCACACTGCTGTGAAACTGGCGACAACGGGAGTTTCGTCCAAAGCGCTGGATTAACAGACGTACATAGCCGCCGACACCACCACTCGGCAGGAAAACTGTACCATTTAACTTCCGTTACACTTAACAAAGACACATGCAAATGCTACCACGTTTACTGTACACTGCGTGATAAGTTCGTTTAACACGAACCCCACTAGCCTACTGTGACATGACAAATGCATCGCATTATTTGTTGGTGTATTTGTGTAAACGTGTTTGTGTTCATAAAAGCTCTCCCCAAGAAATGGTTAGCACAATGTATAAGTCCCCGGGTTGCGGAAGACCCGACTTACGGAAATCCGACTTTACGGAAATGCTCCCATTAATCCTGTTTTAAAATAAGGCGGGTCGCCTGACGCCCTCACTCCGCCAAAACGCCGCCTTCATCGGGGTTCACTCGGATTAAGCTACTGTAAATGTAATCTTTTGCAGTGTTACGTAATAATGTTTCTTTTGTGGCATTACATAATTGGTTTTTTTCTATGCTTAGAACTATTTTTTCCTCTCCAAAATTTCCATTGCTACTTTTCTTCATTTTAAGTTTATTTCAAGAGTTATTTACTATATTCTTGGTTCTTTCGGTAAAGTCACGTAGAAGGGAAACAATAAAATAAAAAATATATAAAACAATAAAATTCTCACGACGTTTCGACTGCAACACAAGCAATCGTCAGGTGTGAGTTAGTTACTGTATGTACTTGATTAATCACAATTGCACTTCGATTGCTTATGGTCTCAGCCAACGGCGATCGGGAGAGTCGAAGCCTAGCTAGCCTAATGCACGGTAAAGTGTTAGGGTAGATATTCGAGGAAATGAAAGAATCATAGGAAGTGCAGAGCGCATGTACAGCCATACGATGCGGGTAGCGATAGAGAATGGGCGACAGCGGGATAAAAACGGTAGGGGAGGCACAACCTTTCGGCTATGGGATTTTATCTTGATTTTGGGGGAAAAAATTGGTCAGTTTCCGACACACGGAAAATTTGAGTTGCGGATCGTTCTCGGGAACCTAACCCTTCAGTAACCCGGGGACTGCCTGTACTATAAACCTAGCAACCCGACGTCAATTCCTTGCCGCAGTTTACCTCAGTGGCCTATACCTGAACTGACAATAGGCCTCCTCTAGGTAATTTCAGTCTTGCGCGAGTACTTGGTGTGTACACATCAAAGGGGAGCCAACGGCAGCTGGGCATGGCGTTGGCCACATCGCCACCTCGTAGGAGTGTGCCAGCCTTCATAGGTGCTTGATAAGACTCTGTATCAGCTATTGGGGGGATATTGGCCTTCGTGAAAAGCACTTGCCCTGGCCGACTTCAATTCCTGGCCATGGACAACACTGTTAGTAATCTGTACTTTAACCTGGTTTGGACCTCCGCTAGGCCTAAAATTAAACTGTGGTATGGTGTGGTCAAAATCAATACTAGCATGAAAAGGTATGCAATGCTCATTAACAGCACCAGCGCTAATAGCTGATTATACAAATTAAGTACAACCAAGCATATGCGTATGGATTCTGTACCAATTTCAAAAATGCGATCGTCTTTAAAAAGTACTACATTTGCGATTTTACGTTCCAAGCCGTACATCACGTTACGTCGCGAGATGACGTTAATCTGGTTGGGAGGTGTCACATGCAACATCAAGATCTTATCCAGCAAAATCAATACTTCCAGCGCTGTTTTTGTCACCATGTTTGGCAAATCTTTGGCACATGTGCCGGATTTGCTCTATGGCGCAACAAAACTTTATCCTAAAATGTTTATTTTGGATCATCTACAGTGAGGGAAAAAGTATTTGATCCCCTGCTGATTTTGTACGTTTGCCCACTGGACAAAGAAATGATCAGTCTATAATTTTAATGGTAGGTTTATTTGAACAGTGAGAGACAGAATAACAACAAAATCCAGAAAAACGCATTTCAAAAATGTTATAAATTGATTTGCAGTTTAATGAGGGAAATAAGTATTTGACCCCCTCTCAATCCGAAAGATTTCTGGCTCCCAGGTGTCTTTTATACAGGTAACGAGCTGAGATTAGGAGCACACTCTTAAAGGGAGTGCTCCTAATCTCAGCTTGTTACCTGTATAAAAGACACCTGTCCACAGGAGCAATCAATCAGATTCCAAACTCTCCACCATGGCCAAGACCAAAGAGCTCTCCAAGGATGTCAGGAACAAGATTGTAGACCTACACAAGGCTGTAATGGGCTACAAGACCATTGCCAAGCAGCTTGGTGAGAAGGTGACAACAGTTGGTGCGATTATTCGCAAATGGAAGAAACACAAAAGAACTGTCAATCTCCCTCGGCCTGGGGCTCCATGCAAGATCTCACCTCGTGGAGTTGCAATGATCATGAGAACGGTGAGAAATCAGCCCAGAACTACACGGGATGATCTTGTCAATGGTCTCAAGGCAGCTGGGACCATAGTCACCAAGAAAACAATTGGTAACACACAACGCCGTGAAGGACTGAAATCCTGCAGCGCCCGCAAGGTCCCCCTGGCTCAAGAAAGCACATATACATGCCCGTCTGAAGTTTGCCAATGAACATCTGAATGATTCAGAGGCCAACTGGGTGAAAGTGTTGTGGTCAGATGAGACCAAAATGGAGCTCTTTGGCATCAACTCAACTCGCCGTGTTTGGAGGAGGAGGAATGCTGCCTATCACCCCAAGAACACCATCCCCACCGTCAAACATGGAGGTGGAAACATTATGCTTTGGGGGTGTTTTTCTGCTAAGGGGACAGGACAACTTCACCACATCGAAGGGACAATGGACGGGGCCATGTACCGTCAAATCTTGGGTGAGAACCTCCTTCCCTCAGCCAGGGCATTGAAAATGGGTCGTGGATGGGTATTCCAGCATGACAATGACCCAAAACACACGGCCAAGGCAACAAAGGGGTGGCTAAAGAAGAAGCACATTAAGGTCCTGGAGTGGCCTAGCCAGTCTCCAGACCTTAATCCCATACAAAATCTGTGGAGGGAGCTGAAGGTTCGAGTTGCCAAACGTCAGCCTCAAAACCTTAATGACTTGGAGAAGATCTGCAAAAAGGAGTGGGACAAAATCCCTCCTGAGATGTGTGCAAACCTGGTGGCCAACTACAAGAAACGTGTGACCTCTGTGATTGCCAACAAGGGTTTTGCTACCAAGTACTAAGTCATGTTTTGCAGAGGGGCCAAATACTTATTTCCCTCATTAAAATGCAAATCAATTCATAACATTTTTGACATGCGTTTTTCTGGATTTTGTTGTTGTTATTCTGTCTCTCACTGTTCAAATAAACCTACCATTAAAATTATAGAATGATCATTTCTTTGTCAGTGGGCAAACGTACAAAATCAGCAGGGGATCAAATACCTTTTTTCCCTCACTGTATACGAGTTATTGTGCCCCCCCCCCCCCCCCCCCCGTTAGAGACCGACAGACTCACGGATACAACTATAACGCATTAATGCCTTCAATCTTAGCTCGAAAGTGTAAATAAAAGGGGCGTTCTCTTTGTATATTTCTTTGTCTGCGCCAGCTTGTACGGGTTCATGTCCACACGAGTGTCTATGTGCGTGCAAATGCAGGTCAGGCTGCGACGGGCACGGACGTTAGCACGTGCGAGTGTGCGGTGCAGATCCAGCGGGCAGCGGCCGATGACTGCAGCCACAGCAGAAGCTCATGCATGCGGAGGTGGCAGAGCGTGAGCGACGCGCCCAGCCGAACCCTCGCCCGGCCGACCCACGAAGCCTCGTGCTCCACCTCCCACCTGGCGATCGTCCACACAGAGCATTCGCCCATTCATTCACAACATTTACTTTGTACGATTAGAAATAGATTTTTGGGTTAGGTAACGTATTTATCTGGCCAAATTTTCGTTATGAAAGCCTCCACCAGCTGATAAAGCATCTTCAGGTGACAGCGTCTTCAGGGTGATTTACTGGACGTCAGAGTGACTTCCTGGGTTCTGACATGAAGGTGCCTGATGCAGTTTCAAGAAAAACGTAACAACTGATGGATACATTTGGTTGCAAGAATTGTTCTTCAACTGGTGAGCTGAAACAATACTAAATTTGCCGTTTAAATGCCGATACACGTGAAAATGCTGACAAAAATTTCGTCAGATCATAGTGGCCTTCACAAAAATCAATTATGAATAATGGAGCACATTGGCTGCGAAAACTCACGTGTATTTTTCTCTCTGTGACATTCAAAACAGTTGTTAATTTGTGACGAAGTGAAAAGCGGTTATCACAGATCAATTCCCACTATGCTGCATCCGCCTGTCCACGTTTCAACCGTGCCTCACAAAGAGTAGCCACTGTCCACGACTGGATTTAGGCCTTCGCCAAAAACCCGCTGACCGGCGCACCTGCACAGGGCTCGCACGCAGCAGCGCGACATGGTGATGAAGGAGCTGGCGTCGGCGCGCGTTCGCAGCACCGTCTCGATGCCGCGCAGGAGGTCGTTCGTCTTGAGCAGCAGCAGCATCTCGCGCGGCACGCGGTTCAGAAGATCGCTGATTTGGGGCAGGTACTGGGCTGCACTGCCCCGCACCTCACTCTCCTGCGTCACGCAGCAGCAGCAGCGAAAACAAAAAAACACCACCCGTCTTTAGCCTGTGCAGGATTGAGGGATGGGTGGATGGGTGTTGTTGTTGTTGTTTGCGAGAACCTATTTACCCCATTCCGGTACATCTTCAACCTTGCACTGTACGTGTACTTCATCAGCTAATAACTTTATCGATATGTCTTCAGGTCCGAAACCACTGTTGACCTTCCCAAAAAGTGGTAGTGTGTTATTATTATCAACTTACTGAGGTGAGTTGACCATTTGCCAGGATTTGAATGGATAACCACCTCGATTGCCAATGATAATGATGATAATAACGGTGAGAATGACAACAGGCGACTTGCAAAACACAGATCTACCTCTTTACTCGTGATGGGCGCCCGGTCGATGCCTTGCTGCACCACGTCCCAGGAGCGCGCCGTGAGCACGCACGCAAACAGCCCGTACAGGTCGCCGGCCCCCAAGCTCCTCGCGTGCTTCTCCACAGCGGCCACATCCGCCCGGAGCAACGCCTGCCACAGGCGGCAGTAGTCCACCCGGAATCCGTCGGACAGCGTCTGCAGCACCGGCGACACGGCCAAGCGGAGGCACATTGTTACCGCAAGCAGCACAGCTTTTGCGGTTCGGGCTCGGTAACCTCCCCGGTGAATATTGTATAAGACGTATTAACCAAAAGGTACACGCCGTCCGCTTCACAGTGGATGTTAAATATTTCCATGAGGTTATGGGGGAAAAAAAGCAGGCCATGTTTGCTGGCGTCATGGTCCATGTTCGATAAATTACTCGAAAATGAACTGAGAGAAGCCACACAACAACGTCACCTCTCCCCGTACTGGCAAAGTAATGCCCATACGCAGGCGGATACGGCGTCCACCTTGTGCCGCACAGGGACAGCTTTCAATGGGGGTCCCCCCTTGGCTCGTGCCACAGGGCACCTCGAGATTTGCACTGGATTGGGAGGTGTGTTGTGAATACTAAGTGATGATGATTTTCAGGGGTAGCTAGGGGTACAAACGCAGAGGGTCAGCCTGAGCACAATACAGTGATGCAGGTTTTAGATGTACAGTTGATCATCGATTTTCCGACGCGCGATTATCCGGCTTCTCACATCGGGCGGTCCCGGGTCGATCCGGCGAAACCGGTAAACCCGCTCCAAAGGCTGTGCAAGGTAGCTATGCTGGATTTCAGTGTCCAATATTATTTACAGTACAATATACACGACATACAACTTAATGAAAATACTGCACGTATGTATATTTTTCGTGACTAATGACTACAGTCATAAAACAGCAAATATATAGTGCGATCCGGTGAAAAATGCATGTAATTCGGCGTTCGCCAGAGTACCGGTCTAAAGGCTGCATCAGTCCGGCGATTGTCAAACACATGTCATTGTAACAAACGGGTAGTAGTGCTATGTACATAACCCCATGCAGAATGTTCGAGATTGGAGTGGTAAGTACGGTACAGTAAATACAGTAGATTTCTACAGTCGGATATGTATTTTTTTTGTCTATTTGTATGTTTATTTATGCCAATTTCACATCGTAAACATTTAAAACACAAAAAAAAATATACACAACACCGAAAAACAAAACGTTATACAAGAATTTGCAAAAATAAGCTATTTTAAATAATTATGTGATTATCCGAAATGTTTTAAATTCTGACGACACCTTCCTCCCCGAAGCCGCCGGACAATCGATGATCAACTGTTTCTCATGGATATGATTTAATACAGCAAGCCAGGACTAGTGACTTATGGAGAATTGCAGCTCTTTGTCAATAAATTGGTGTACGGGAGCCTCCCGGCACTCTGTGGGGTTATCTCTCTGTGCCTCCCCAGTGTGGGTTGGTCAGCATAGAAGTAAAATAATCAAATCAAACTTTACTTAAATAGCAAAATTGGTGCAAAAATGTTTAATACAAAGTGCTGTACAGGACTATATGAAGGGCCTGACACAATGTAAACAATAAGAATGATATTCATAATGGTCGCGAAAGCCTACGTGTTAAACTAATAAGAATGATACATGACACAAATTACACGCAATATAATGAACTAAAAGTATAATAAAATGCAAAATAAAAGCCATAATAACCAGTGGCTTTTCCTGCACTGCCATCTGCTGCCCACCACGTAGAGATGTGGTCTATGCTAGGAAAAACAAGGTTTGCTGTGTCGAGCAATCAATTTAGAGCAATAATTTGTGCAGTGTGCAGTTTGTTTTACACATCTACCCATTGGTTTGCTGCACTAGCACACGTGTGTATAATGACCTGTCTGGACATAGACTAAGGGTTTTTTTTGTTTGTATCAGGGTCTCATGTTCATCAGAGGCATGTGACAACCTAAGTTATAAAATCCCTACAAACAGCACCAGTTAATCCTGGTATCAATACAGTAGTGGCCGGGTAAACCCACATCTCCTCTGGTGGCATTTCGGTGTCAATCCAGGATTAAGTAATCCATTTACACCATTCGATCCTACAAACACTCTTTGCCATCGGTTCCCCTCCCGCTGCTAGAATCCTCCAATAGGTTTACAGGCTCCCCATTGTCAGCTTCCACTTCCATCGCCAACACCGAACTCACTGATATTATTCAAGACTCCCGCCCCACTTTTTGTCTACTCGATCCCTTTCCTTCAAGACTCCTCCGAGACAAACTTCCTGCCACTTATCCCATTCGTTCTCAAGCCTTTTTAACCAGTCTCTCCACACGGGCATCATTCCGAACAGTCACACAACATCGGCTCTCACACCCTTTCCAAAAAACCTTGGCTTAGATCCGGGTGATCTCTACAACCTTCGCCCCATCTCCAACCGCTCATTACTTTAGAAAGTCCTTGACCGTGCTGTAGCGCACCACATAACCGCTCATTTGACATACAATGACCTGGACTATTTTTAATCAGGTTTCCGAGCGGGCCACAGCACGGAGACAGCATTGGTTTGGGTAGTGAATGACTTCCTTCAGTTGGCTGACAAGGGGCACTCTGGTGCAACCAGTCCTTCTCGATCTTAGTGAAGCAATTAAATTTAGGGTCCAATTTAAGGTGTTGCTGCTTACAAGGCCTTAAACGGCCTTGCCCCATTTTACATTCAACAGCTGATTAACTTGCACGTACTGTCACGATCTCTCCTATCCGCAAATGTACATCTGCTTCATGTGCCGAGAACTAGACTCTGCCCCTGGGGTGGCCGTGCCTCTGCATGTGCTGCGCCAAGACTATGGAAGGCCCTGCCACCTGTGGTCAGACAGGCGGGGTCACTCACTTGCTTATGTCTTCTCTAAAGACTCACTTGTTTCACCTGGCCTACACTTCCCATCAATGATCAGTGGACTCTGGACTTTGCACTATTTATATTTCCTCATCTTCTTGGTTCTTTCAGTAAAGTCACGTAGAATGAGAATAAAACAATAAAACAAAATAAACTAAATAAGACAATTGTTTTATTCTCATTCTACGTGACTTTACCGAAAGAACCAAGAAGATGAATCCTTGCAGTCACGAAAGCTTTAAATCGAAATTTATTTCCTCACTTTGTGCATGGCACACTGAGATCCTTGCATGAATTGCGCCTAAACATGTAAATTATTATTTTCATTTAGGCAATGTGTTAAAATATAAACTTTATCCCATTCTGAGTTTTGGCTCGCATATGAACGAGCTGATATGCTCTGCGAGTGGACAAAAATCATCAAGCGTGACGGTGAACACGGCTACTACCCGCCAAAGACCTAAGCGTGACGATACAAAATTAAAGAATATGAATAAACCTAAATGAATCAGGTAAAGCCCACTGAGCTATTAGGTATTTTTCAAAGGCAACCTGGCCACACAGGATAGCTCAATGAAGAGGCTCATCATATGTTGCAATTTATAGCAGCAGCCAATTAATCTAAACACATGTTTGCAAATGTGCAGGGCAAAACCCAGCGGAAACTGAGAAAAATCCACGTGATTATGGAGAAAGAGAACAAGCAAACTCCAAATAAAAATATACAGGTATCATCAGGGTCGAGATGGAACCCACGATCTCCTGCATACCAGGCGAGGAAGACAAACGGAGACTAAGAATATATATTACTATAAAGAGCAGGGCACTGAGAAAGATCAAACAAGGTCATTGATTTATAAATATATTTAGTGAGTTCACTGAATTGGCTGACCTAATATTGGAGAAGGGGTGGGGGGGGGGAGTTGAATTGCATACCAATGAGATCAACATTTCATATCTAAAGAGTGAACTACCTTTATGACCACTTTGGTCAACACGTACCTGGTAGATGCCATGATCCAGCAGGATGACCTCCGTGTGACCAGATGCGGGGTCCCTGTGCACCAGCACGTTCCCGGGGTGCGGGTCGCAGTGCACGAACCCCTCCACGAAGATCATTTCGCTGTACATGCGGCCCAGATACCGCGACACCTGGTTCACGTCTATTCCATGCCTCTGCATGTACGCGCGGTCGTTGATCTGCCCCCCTTCCATGAACTCCATCATGAGCACGCGATCCGTCGACAGCTCCCAGAAGATGCGAGGCACCTTCACGGCAACATCGTCACAACTGCCATTACCACCGTCACCATCAATAATCATTGCCATCAATTCGAAGCCACTCATCCTGAATGTATGTTTAACTTCTTTCGCAATGTACACAGCAAACCGTGCTAATCGGAGGTGTGGAAGGACACCAAACTAAACACAAAAAGCAGTTCTAAAGAAAAGAATGAGCCCAGTCTCATCTGATCTTCCTATGGGTAAATCACCCTGAATGTGCACGAGCTCATCAGATCTCAGAAGCTAAACAGGGGTGAGTCTAGTTAATACATGAATGGAAGACAGCTTGGGTATACAGTAGCAGGTGTCATAGGCTGTAAGGTGGCCAAGATAAGGTGATACAGAAATGGATTCTATACCATCTGTGTGAAGCTATGAGCTTCAGCCCCGTGTATGCATAGGTTTCATTGGGGTACTTCAGTTTCCTCCACTGAATAATGGCATTAGCCTTGAGGCTGAGCCAGGCCTTCCTGGATAGACAGATGGAATTCCGTTTTTTTTATTGTACACAGCTTGAGAAGATATTTTCAATACTGAGACCAATGTAATATAAAAGTATGAGAAGTAAATTAATTTTATGACTTACAGACTTACGTTTGTTCAGTCTGGCAAGAGTGATAATTAATATCTGCATGTTTTTTATCGTAATCATAATCTTAATCCAGCCGACGACATCCTGTGGAATTTTAGTCATGTCTTTGTGGAGAGAATGTGGTAATAAGCAGTCCAATGTTTAATCCAGTTCTAAGTTATAAAATGATGGCATTGAGGTTGCTTGCATTTTTTATCCCCTCTCTATTCCCCCCTAATATTATCAGGTCATCCAATGAGTAAGCTCGTCAATTAGCACTGTTAGGCTTCCTCAATGCACTGCAGTCTCGAATTACTTTACTGAATTATCGTGGTCTGCGTCTTCACGCATACTCGTTAATATTGACTTGTCATCGTCAGTCATGCTTTGACCTTAGGTGGGTAGTCACAGTCACCATCATGCCTGATGATTTGCGTACACAATCATAGTCAATGTAGGTTCAAAGAAGAAAAAATGTTGTCACGAAGTACATCTATAATATTGACAGTGCCTGGCATACAGGGTAGAAATTCGTTTTGGAAAATACTTAAATGTATGATCGTTTTTTGTGGATATTCAGATCATTTACATGTATTAATTAAAAATCTATTCGTGCAAACATTAGTGATGTCACCTGATCCCACGTGACATCACTTTAGGTGGTAAAAGCACCGAAGTGATATCATGAAAATTACAAAAACTTCCTGATACGGCATGTTTTCAGGTCAATCTGAAACAACAACAAAAATCTTCAAAAAAATTGTATCTCAGCCCAATGAAAGGATTAGTCGAATTTTTGCCAGTTAATATCAAAAGAGTGAACACATTCCTAAGCCACAGTGAACACATTCCGAGGCCGCAGTGATTTCCCAGAGGGTGTGGGGGTGAGTGCTGTGCCTTCAGGAAGTGGAACTTGTGAAGCATGGAGGCGACGCGCTCAGCGTTGCGACCTTCGTTGATGAAGTCCAGCTCGATGGGGAGGTTCTTCCGAGCCTCCTCCACCAGCCACAGGAAGCGGAAGTCTGGGAAGAGCCACGCAACTCCACGCACTAGCACCTGAACAAGCCAAGTATAAATGCATAAACAATCAGTGTATTTGAAATACTGCTTGTGCATCTCTTTTATAGCATTGCATTCTCAGCCTAATTAATGTTACCTCACTTATTTAGTTTAAGGTTAATTCTATTTTTGTTAACGCCTGGTAAAGGTTTTATCGTCTTACAGTTTCTTATGAATTTTATGTTGTGTGCTGTTATGTGGTTATGCTTATAATATTCTTCTCTAAATGTTACCATGTAATGTCTGATTACATTGTATAGGATCTGGTTCAGAACTAAGACGCGACTCTCAGCCTTATCTACTATAACTAAACATTACATAAATTCAAATAACACCTCCCCAATTTCTCATTTTAAATACCAAGGAAAATTGCATCAAAAGCCAACGTGGTGTATAATTTAGCATTTTACACAAACGAATTATGGACTGCATTGGCAGAGGTGCACAAGCAAATACAATAAGACAAACTCGTAACATTTATCATTTGGCGTCCTCTGGTCTAACACCGTTTTGAGACGAGGCTCAACAGAAAGCTGTCTCTGGTGTGGACCAATCAGTTTCAAAGACAATGCATATATTATCAGAGTATGTTTTTTTGTGGTTAATGCAGACATGATTCCTTGTAAAAGGTTTCAGTTTTGTGTTTTAACATCTTAACACCTGTTTGTTGCCAGAAAAAAGGGCAAAACCTATTCTCAAGACAACCCTCTGTCAACAGTGCTAAATGAACGCATTGTTGGTGGGTTGTTTGACTATACTTCACCACGCACTTCCAATTAGCATTGTTGGCTAAGGTGCGAAAGAATTTCAACATACATACATACCACGCTAACAAGTACGGGTTGATGAAGGGGTGGAATGCCAAGGTGCTAGCTGTGGCCAGGAATCGAACTCAGGTTGCCATATTCATAACACAGTGCACTAACCGCTGCACCACTGCTCCACCCACATTCATGATCAATGCCGTCTTACAACAAAACAACATTTATTGGCTGACGTGTGAGGCCAATGGCGAAGCAGTCCCACTGTGCTTTACAGACAGGAAGCGATGAAGTTCATCCGGCCTCATCGTCATCATCATCATCATCCGCCGTGTGATGATTGACAGAGGGGAAAAGAGAAAGAGGGAGCGAGAGAGAGCCAAGCTAGAGTTCGCCCACAGCCGCATGGCTTGTTGAAGAGTACGACCGCCCCTGTGTGACCGAGTTTGTGACGGCGAGGCCGGGTCCGGGGCTTGTGGCGCGGGCGGGGGCTCCGTACCTCCATGACGTCGAGGTCACGAGTCGCCTGACTCCGCACCTTGCGGTGCTGCACCTTGACGGCCACGGTGCGGCCGTCGCGAAGCGTGGCGCGGTGCACCTGGGCCAGAGACGCCGTCCCCAGCGGCCTCGGATCAAAACTCTGGAACAGCTCGCCCACCTGCATTTTCATCACATCGTCAAATACAGTGTTCAGTTAAACAATGTCAATGACCACGAGCGAATCGCCTGATCCTGGCAGATCTCACGAGCTGAGCACGGTTAAGCCTGCATACTGTTCGGATGGGTGATCAATAAGCTTGCATGAACAGGTTGTGATAGGCTGCGTGGCTGTGCTACGTAATGGCCAGTAGAGAGCAGTGCAGCAAAATTAATTGTTGGACCGTAAGTCTGCTCCTGTGTCTATGCCCTCTGCCTTAACCAATCCGGTCAAATAACCCCCATGACCCGCACGACGTGACGAGGCCTTCATCCAATCATGTGTAGTGACTAACTCGGAGACAGTAAGACTTAGAGGCACTTCTTTTATTTAACGAGCACCATCGGGATAATACACACCCTACGTGGATATACACTGTTACTGTTGCTAGCCGATACACAACACTAACCGTCTAAGACTGACGGCGCTGAACTGAGACAGCCAACAACTATCAAGCATATCCTTAGCTCTTTCGGTAAAGTCACGTTGAAGGGAAACAATAAAATAATATATATATAAAACAATAAAAATTCTCACGACGTTTTGACCATAACACAAACGGTCATCATCAGGTGTGTCGGTTTGCATTAATTTATTTATTTTTAAACGGTGTATTTATTTATTTGCAAAAAACGTCAGCGCCACGCGCAACGATTTGGCAGTTTATTTAGAACGACTAGTCCATCTATGTTCTGAAAAGAATATGAATTGTTGCAGTCACGAAAGCTTTAAATCAAAACTATCTAGCAGCGCAATATCGAGGACGGCAGCAACGATGGCGACGAGATGGTAACGATGATCTTGAACCGCACGACGGGGATCCCACTTCCAGCAACAGCCCCGAGGTGCCCCACAAGGGCCCCTCTTACACTGTCAGCGTGGCCTCGCTCCGCCCCGGCCACGCCCCCTTTCTGGAACCTACTAGTGGGTTCCTGGTGGGCCCCTTCTGTGACCTTTCCCCGAGATCCCCCTCTCGTGTATATCCTGGCCTGCTGACGTCAGGACAGCCATACACCGCAGATCCCCTTTTTCGCCAGCAGCCAGCGCTATGCCACTACACATGGATTCACCAAAAGACTGCACATTCAATAAGTCAACAACCAGTGTCTCTATGCGTAAAGGGTCACCACACATTCTTAAGCTGTGTGGATCATGAGTATGAGATCAGTTGCACTTTCAGTGATTAAAAGTGCTTCCATTGATTTTAAGTCCGGTTAAAGTTTGTTTAACCAGTTGGGAACTTAATTGACTAGGAAAGTAAAATGTACAAGTAACCAGTGGCATTAGTCTGCCAGTATGTAGAATCCCCATTTAGCAATTTGCAGGTAATGTTCATTTTTTATCATGATGCTGGCACACAATGACATATTCATTTTTTATTATATCAGGGGATCTTTAACGTACACTGTGAAGCACACGGCGCATCGTATATATTTTAGTTAAATCACCCACATAAATAACTAGGGTGGCCCACCGGATTCGAACTGCAACAAGCTTTCGAACGTGCTACCGTTGGGCCATGTCACCACTGCCAATGTGGAATTTCCACCGTTGTAAACAGGAAATGAGCACTGCTTTAATGCTCAATTTGAGCAGGAAATCACTTTGATGGACACGGTTGGCTACGTATACACACGCACACACAAATTTGAAATGGCGATTTCCAGACGGCGAAAGACGTGGCCACGACGCACCTCTTTTCCCAGCTCTTCGCGAACGACTCTGTGCACGTCCTCGATGGGGCTGGTGGGCGCACTGCTGTGCAGCACCCGCAGCGTGCGCGTGTACTCCTCGGGCAGCAGGTAGTCCAGCGCGCCCAGGTGCTGCCCGGCCTTGATGAACGTGCCACGATTGGCGCAGCACAGCTCCAGCAGCCGCTCCGCCGAGCGCAAGTGAACCTCAAACGCGAACGATGCATTCGTTTGGTTAATATACGTCCGTTTGCATTCACAGTTGCTTCAAGCGTCATCGTCGTCGTCAGCCATGCTCAAGTCGCTGCTGGATGAGAGCCTCTGCAAGTCGGCGCCACCGTTCCCACCTGATGGCGGACGCTTGTGTTGCGCCCGAAACGTCGTGATTTATTTTATTTCATACCTACGTGACTTTACCAAAAGAAACAAAGAGTATGAATTCCTGCAGTCACGAAAGCTTCAAATCAAGATTGGCATACTGTGTTTCTGCTTTGATAAGCAGTAAGAAAAGTTCACATTGAAGGCACCAACATTTCTGCATGCACCCCTTCATGAGTCTTCTTACCAACCTGTGACTTGGCTGCCCAGTACTCATCTGTTCCGTACTCCATACGTTTTAACGTCCTCATGTAGTCTGCACTGATCAGCGCGGTCTGTGTGTGCAGGCACAAGTAATATTTCAAGATGATGTTTGGGAACACATCTTTAAAATCACATTTTTAACAAGTTTATATGAGTACGTGTGTAAATTAATGCTTCCGTGTAAAAGTATATTTCTATATGTAAATGTCTATGTGGGTCTATGATTTTCTACGTAAGTCAGTGTTGACTAGGCAGGGACCATCAACTCACTGCACTTGAGAAGCCAGATTAATGGATCTGACCCCATGAACCCTGACCTCCGAGCCACCGGGCCACCGGGCCACCACAGACATTGTCTAGCACACGTTTCCCTACGACGCTGCCACTGGTGCCCTGACCGTCCACACGGCGCGGCCGATCCTGACGGCGCTGATGTCCGCCGGGTCCAATCCGCTGCTAGTGTAGACGCCGATCCCCGAGACGGCCGCCACTGACAAGGTGAGGGCGAGGCGACGTGCCATGCTGGCACTGAGGGCACCTCCTGCATTCAAAGGTAGGCCAAGGCAGTCAGGCAGGCAGGCAAGCATTACTGCGGTTGACTCGAGTATTCAAACAACCAACAGTTTCATGGAGGGGAGGCCTTAATCCAGCAGTCGCTTGACAAAGACATCATGCTACTATTCAAAGTTATATATTCCTCGAGTATCCTGGCTGGCTGCTGGCTGAGCTTCTCTCTGTCCCAACAATACAGGCTTCCCTCGCTTTATGCGGTAGTAGTAGATGCTTTCCAAAAAAAGGGCGTGCAAAGCGAAACTGCACGAGTACACGGTACACACACAGTACACGGTACACACACAGTACACGGTACACACACAGTACACGGTACACACACAGTACACGGTACACACACAGTACACGGTACACACACAGTACACGGTACACACACAGTACACGGTACACACACAGTACACGGTACACACACAGTACACGGTACACACACAGTACACGGTACACACACAGTACACGGTACACACACAGTACACACACAGTGCACACACAGTACACGGTACACACACAGTACACGGTACACACACAGTACACACACAGTGCACACACAGTGCACACACAGTGGTATCCCACGTTTGGCCGCATAGCCACACGTAGAATGAATTCAAACCGCATACGGCGAATTTTGGGTAGGAATAAGTTAGCCGCGTATATGCGAAATCGCACAAAACGAACCCGCATAGGGAATATAAAAAAAACTCTAAATACATTTTATCTAGCCATTGTATGACATAAAAAGGGAGGATAATTTTAGTGATCCGAGCACAGGTTTTTGAGAAGACTATGAATTAGACAGCTTTCGTTGAAGGTACCAACATTTTCCACGAGGCAAGAGCACGTGGCTCAAGGCTTAATTATACAATGTTGTGACTTGCACGATCATTAACGCAACTAGCACAAGTGCTCGTTTGTTTTCGACTGGCTCGGCTTGGAATGACCCACGCATACCATGCCGAAATCCTCTCTCATTTAAATGCCCTCTCCCGCCCGTGTCGAGTTATGCTGTGGGTGTATACCCCATGCCGAGCCATCGCAATCCACAATGACAAGGCACTTGCGTAATGAATTGTATACGCTTACGTAACTCAGATATATTGGTGTTACATGCCGTGTACGTCGCTTCCACCAAGCCGCAATGACCAGCGCGGTGAAGTATGGTCGAATAACCGCCATGACCCAAAGAGCATGGAGAGAGGCCCTAATCCAGCAGTGGATTCACAAAAGGGCTCTGTTCTGTACATTGTGATCCAGATGTCTGTACATTGTGATCCAGATGTCTGTACATGGTGAACCAGATGTCTGTATATTGTGATCGAGATGTCTGTACATTGTGATCCAGATGTCTGTACATCGTAAACCAGATGTCTACATTGTGAACCAGATGTCTGTACATTTTGAACCAGATGTCTGTACATTGTGATCCAGATGTCTATACATGGTGATCCAGATGTCTGTACATTGTGATCCAGATGTCTGTACATGGTGATCCAGATATCTGTACATGGTGATCCAGATGTCTGTACGTGGTGATCCAAATGTCTATACATTGTGATCCAGATATCTGTACATGGTGATCCAGATGACAACTGACAATGTCCGCCTTGCATATTCATTTCTGTTTTAAATCAACCTTTAAAAAAACATTCCATTTTAGACAGTTAAATGGGGGGTGGGGTCACAACACATCTGGAGCACCGTGTACATGTGCAGTGTAACAACATGACGCCCGCGATATTCAGAGGCAAAGAGATCGTGGGATGGCTGGAGAAAATAAATGTCCCTCTGCAAGCCACCAGCACCTCTCACGATCCCCGCGATGTTACAATCCGCCCAGCTCCCTCTCTCTCTCGCACGCGACTTCACTGCATTGCTCCATCTCCCGAGTCCCGCGTTCCGTGCTGGGCAGCTGTGTGAAAGAGCTTCTTAGCTCATCGGATTCCTCCGCTCCGAGTAAAGATTCCGATTCTTTACCTCGATCATCGGCAAACATTGCTTTCTAGTAACTTTACTTAACAGGTGAATCCGTGTGGTTCCGTAACCTGCGTGTCGCTCTCTAAGTCTCTCCGGGCAGTGATCGGTGTGTGTGTGTGTCTCTCTCTCTCTCGTCATCGTTGCCCTGTGTAGAAGACACGCCGGTGTTTGACGCGCGTGTAAAAGCCCTTACCGTCTCTCGCGGGACCTCTGCGACTGTTTATTACGATGGCGATTGTATTGTCAATAACGTGAACAGTCGCTATTATTGTTGGCAGTGTTACGAGCGGTGTGGAGTTCTCAATGACGCGGCCTCTGCCGGGCCGTGTCGCGTTGAGCCGGTGAATAAAGCCAATCGAGCGGAAATCTGCGATCGCCGGCCGTATAAATCGATTCCCAACACCAAGCGACCTGAATTTAGATTCCAAAGTTCGTTACCGTGAATAGCTTCAAACAAGATTTACGCTATATTTTTTTAATGTTGAATTGCTGCGATCGCGTAACAATAGGAGGAGTTGGGGAATGAGGACTGATGTTGTTTTATTGCAACAACAAAAAACATGGGATGAATCGTTTGGAATCGGTTGTGATTTGTATTGCTTTGAATCGATGTAGATCCGTGTCTTTGCTTGCTCGGCGCTCCATTGCTTGGGACCACGTTCTACGTAACTAACCACGTGGTGGACACGGAACACACGTGGTGTTCCGTAGCCACCACGTGGTGGCTACGGAACACACGTGGTGGTCAAAACACACGTGGTGGCACCGAGAGACCTCCACGGATATGCAAAAATAAGAATAGGTTTTACCCTTTCTGGCAATATATCTTTAAGGGGCGTCCATAAATGACGTCACGCGATTTTGGACGAATTTTTACCCCCCCTCCCCTCGTCACACGGCGTCACAAAAAGTCAGACCCCCTCTCAAATATGACGTCACAAAGCTCTGCCCCCCCCCCCCAAAAAAAAACATTTCCATTTTGAAAATAAAACATGCTTCAAATCGCTTTAAACTATTGTCATTGTAGTTCGTATTTAATGTGGCGCTGCACTCTGATGTTGTAGGAGAAAACAGGTATTAAAAAAGGAGGCATTGGAAAGCTTAAATTTAGCATAAAATTCACCTGAAAATATTCAACGTCTAACTAAAACTGCAGATGTTCAGAATATTATATTGAAATTATCTTATAATTATAAAATATTAAAAGTAATTATAACTATAAAAAATACTTGAAACTTTGTAGTAGAATGAAGCAAAATGGAGAGTACAATTATAACAATCATATATTCATTCCACAATGAAAAGCCAGCAGAATCATGAGAATCAAAATATTTAATAACAATCATTTAAAAAAATGTTCAAAATGTATGCTTCTCCATTCTCTCATGGAGAAGCAAAATGCTCCTTCTTGAAATATATAAAAGGTGACCTGAGTAAAATTAAATAATGAAATAGTTAATAATGAAAATAATAAAATTAGTGTTAAATTTTGATTTAAAGCTTTCGTGACTGCAGTAAAGTCACGTTGAAGGGAAACAATAAAATATATTATTTTATTGTTTCCCTTCAACGTGACTTTACCGAAAGAGCTAAGAATAAAAATTAGTGTTGTTTTAACAATTCTATATTTATTTAAAGTTGCGCATTTTGATGTGACGTCACATTTCTCACCCCCCCCCCCCTCGTCGCACATCGTCATAAATGTCTGACCCCCCCCCCCCCCTCCGTGCGTGACGTCATTTATGGACGGCCCCTAATAAGAAAATATAAGAATAGTGTTACCCTTCCTGGCAATGGGGGGTTAACCCGAATGCGTACGCTCGCGTATGGGGGGGCTCTACTGACAATGTGCGTACGCATAGGAAACGGGTGGGGGTGGGGGGGGGGTTATCAGCAATGCCTTTTTTTGCCGCAGTCACTTACCAATGAGGTGTTAGACCAGAGGTCAAAACATCAGATACATTTACGAGGCTCAAAAGAAAGCTGTCTCTGGTGTGGACCAGTCAGCTCAAGCACAATGCACATATATTATCAGAGTATGTTTTTTTGTTTGCATTCTGACCACAAGCATTGTGGTTAGTGCAGACATGATTCCTTGTAAAAGGTTTCAGTTTGGTGTTTTAACATCTTAACACCTGTTTTGTTGCCAGAAAAAAAGGGGAAAATCCTATTATCATATTTTGCTACTGGCGCAGGAGGTCCCATGATGAAGATACAAAATAAGAATGTAATAAAGCATTTTGCAATAACGCCTGCCCCTTTGAAAGAGTGCCAGTATCTAAATTAACACATCCAAGTGGCCCGTGCTGTGCTATTTAAAGCAATGGTACGAGTTGTTTCAATTTATTTAATGATTTCGACTTCAATCTGTTGTCCTTAAATTTCTCGTAACCAAAGTAAAACATTGAGATGTACATCTCATCACCGACGGTAGCTCATACCTTAGCTCCAGTCGTCCAGATACACTTTACAAGACGAGCAGACATAACGGCATTGCCCATCACCGTGTTGACATCTCGAGATGTTCATCTTCATGACAATAGCGGGGCCTCACAAGAAAACTTATGCGGGACACGAGGTGGCGCTCGCGGGGAAAATTATGTAAACGACTGAGCGCTTTGATGAATGCGAACGTAACACGCACAGCCCTTTCGTCAATCCACTGCTGGATGATGGCCTGTCACCCCCACCCTCCAACGCCGTGAGAGTCTTGGCGGTTATTTGACCATACTTCACCACGCTGGTCTGTGCAGGTTGCTGAAGGCGGGGAGCATGGACGTTGTGACTGTAAAACAATGCATGTTGCTGCACTGCCCTCTATTGACAACGTAGCCCAGCAGCAACCTACAACACAATAATTATTTAATAATAATGTATCGTATTTATTTATCCTGGACAACCACGCCGAGCCGTCGGACTCTTTTACAGGAGGGTCCCGAATCGGGGTTTTAATGTTAAGACGTGTCCAGCCAGCGAATGACGAGTAAGTGCATTACACAGACACACGTGTGTATTACATACGCGTGCGAGAAAACCGGAGAACCCGGAGAAAACTACACGGCTGTACAGATGGAAACTGATGTCGATTAGTCCACTTGCCGTAAACCCGTCTTCTCCTGGTGAGACCACCTCCTCGACGCGCACAGGGAAGGAGTTTTGACAGTAGTGTTTGTGCGATCTGCCAAACCCTTGCTGTGTCGTGCACGGCACGGCACGGTCACCCATCCGAGCATTATTCAGGCACAAAGCTGCTTAGCTTGTGAGAATCGGGCGCGCATTACGGGAAACGTGGCCATATGCATCAACAGATGTCCATTTATACCAGGTTAGGACTACACAATAGCATATAGGTGTAAGCTTCAGATATATGTCCAATGCGATAGCCATAATAAAATCATTTACGTCTACAGTTCTAGCGCACTATGATCCTAGTTTGCTCAACCACGCTTTGCAAAGTCAGCTTCCTCTTGAACTTCCCGTGATGAGTCAACGCCACAACGGTGCTGACTGTCGACAAGTGACGATCACGATCGATCCGTTTATGCTCACAGGAATGAACACGTATTCCACGCTTGAGTGAAATAAAAAAAAACATCGTGAATTTCTCTGAAAAACAAAAAAAGTTTCCCTTTTGGGAAGTTTCAGGCTCACGTCTGGACGGAACGAAACGGAGCGAAGCAGAAGCGCAGTAAGTGTACGGGCCAGAAAATAGTTGCATCGAGAGCTCAGCGAAATAGTTCGCTCAGTCAATGCTGCGAAGGCTTTTTTTGGCATTGTGCTTATATCGCTGATGAGTTTGCGGGTCGTAACCCTGTGTTGCTCGGCGAGATAGGCAGCGACGCGATGAGGCGGCGCCAATCACTTCCCAAGCTCTGCGATCCTCTACATATCAAGATGTTATCGGCCAATTAATGAGCGCTTACATGTGGAAGGAAACCGGAGCACAGGGAGGACCCTGAGGCGTGTAAGGGGGGAACCCTCTATCCCATGCTTTAAAGTACTGCCTTCCCCTGGCCAAGCCCGGGTATGGCTGGGCATCTGTGTATTTTACTGGACATCTGCGAAAAAAGAGCTTCATAGCTCATCGGATTTCTCGAGGATAAATAAAGATTCTGATGGCTCCTCCTCGACGCACACGGGAAGAGAAAAAAAACAATCAATTGAGTTCTTAATTAACTGAAATATATCAATATTCAGAACTGAAAACAATAAATCCACCAGGGGTCCAGCATCACACACAAGTAAGCCCATCGAGGAGCACGATTTTTCTCAATGGAATCGCGTTCGATCGAGACTCGTTAAAGTTCCTCTCAGCCTCGAGCTCAGGGCTCCGCGACCTGCGGCTCCTGTGACGTTGTATATATCAAGGGTCATCGCCTTCTCGTATTCACCACACAGTGCATTGCGGCTCTTGAAATATGAATAAATATGTTTATATTCTTGTTATTTTGGTTGTCGACCGCTGTGCTAGCTTCTCGTGCTGACAAGACAGGCAGGAGCACTCATAGCTTCGTCAAAACGAGACGTAGCACATCAGCGATGCTTCAAAAGTCCTGATCCGGAATCGTAACAATAGATTGCCACAGTCTGCTGATTTAATAAATAAATCCCAGTGATCATTTGCACGAACACGCCAATGAAAAGGCCCGGGGCACGGTTAACTTGGAGACAAGACCGCAAACCGATCCCCCATTCCGAATCGTGATCCGTAACCGTAACATTTCATGCAGGGCAAGGGACGGGTTGGACGATAACACGATGATGTAACACGATTTTTGTTCCTGGGTAGTAAGTGTTATTTTCTAATTGCTTAAGCCTCAAAAGTATATAAAATGGGCTATTATTCCCCACAAACTTTGCTTTAGTTACCAGGACTTTACGTGAAGGAATGACACAAATGCACACCACGTGTTCTCATAGGTACATTTCAAAATATCCCTGTCTTGGTCACAAAAGCAAAGTTTGTGGGTAATAATAGCAATTTTCTGTACTTTTGAGGCATAAGCAATTAGAAAATAAGACTTACTACCCAGAAACAAACATGTTTTTTTCTTCTTCTTTGGTTCTTTCGGTAAAGTCACGTAGAATTAGAATAAAATAATAAAATAAAATAAGACAATACAATTCTCACGACGTTTCGGCCACAACACAAGTGGCCTTCTTCAGGTGAAAGAACAGAACTGTCGGGACGACGGAGCTTCAATTAACGCTGCTAAGATTCCCAGCGTCTTTTGAGCTCGGTGAGAGGGGTAAAGAGCCTTGACAAAGGCGTTTACATATCAAAGCAGGAGAATTTAGCGTTGAAAAAAGCCGAGGGATTAGCTTGTGACAGAAATAGCTGTCTTCTTTGGTTCTTTCGGTAAAGTCACGTAGAATGAGAATAAAATAATAAATTAATAAAATAAAACAATTAAATTCTCACGTTTCGGCCACAACACAAGTGGCCTGCTTCAGGTGAAGCGCTGTCCTCCAGACAGTCTCGTCCCTTCACCTGATGAAGGCCACTTGTGTTGTGGCCGAAACGTCGTGAGAATTTTATTGTGTTATTTTATTTTATTAATTTATTATTTTATTCTCATTCTACGTGACTTTACCGAAAGAACCAAAGAAGATGAATCCTTGCAGTCACGAAAGTTTAAATAGAAATAGCTGTGTTAAAGTCAAAGTTTAAATATCAGCAGAGGCATTTAGCATATGAACGCTAAAGGACTCGAACTACCAACTATCATAAAATAAACCACAGCGTCTTTTTAGCGCCATCTGTCGGAGCGATGAGTCGCTGTTACAATCCCGAAAGCCCTCTCCACAACCGATGCGAAGCACAACGTGGGGCGATTGACTCGTCAATTTCGCTTCTTCAAGTCGAACCATGACCCGGAATCTCTGGCAATTCGCGGATGAAGAAGGAATCGTCGGACGGCGAGAGGAGTTGCTTGATTCGTCCTTCGAGCGCGCCACCCGCTTGTTTTTCCCTGCCACCCTCAGCCAAAGAGTGTCAGCGCAACTAATCAACAACGTCTTCTTTGGTTCTTTCAGTAAAGTCACGTAGAATGAGAATAAAATAATGAAATAACACAATAAAATTCTCACGACGTTTCGGCCACAACACAAGTGGCCTTCTTCAGGTGAAGAAGGCCACTTGAAGAAGGCCACTTGTTTTGTGGCCGAAACGTCGTGAGAATGTTATTGTTTTATTTTATTATTTTATTCTCATTCTACGTGACTTTACCGAAAGAACCAAAGAAGATGAATCTTGGCAGTCACGAAAGCTTTAAATCGAAACAACGTCGTCGTCTTCTTGGTTATTTCGGTAAAGTCACGTAGAAGGGAAACAATAAAATAATAAAAATATAAAACAATACAATTCTCACGACGTTTCGACTGCAACACAAGCAATCATCATCAGGTGTGAAAACCACAGCAATACATTTTTTTTCTTCAAATTTTCTTGCTGTGGTTTTCACACCTGACGATGATTGATTGTGTTGCAGTCGAAACGTCGTGAGAATTGTATTGTTTTATATTTTTATTATTTTATTGTTTCCCTTCTACGTGGTGACTTTACCGAAAGAACCAATAATATGAATCCCTGCAGTCACGAAAGCTTTAAAATAAAAAAAACAACGTCGTCATCGTCATTGTGATCACACCCACGTCGTCATAGTCATGTGAGCGGCGCTCGGCTGCCAACTTCGCCGTCAAAACGCGGAAACTCAATTCTCAGTTTCACATCCGTGTTGGCTGTGTGGATCAAGAGCCGTCTCTACGAAGGGACTGCCTGCTGCTGCTGCCGCCGGGGTGGGACGCATCCTCTCTGTGTGCGCGTGTGTGGTTGTCTTTGTTGCTGATATTCACCGTGTGTGTGTGTGGGGAGTGTTAAAGAGGCTTGGAACTGAAGATGCCCGGCTGGTGGTGCAGCAGCATCCTGGCCCTGCTCGCTTGCTGCTTCCTCTTCCACGTGGGGAGCGCGGCGTTCTCAGGCGGTGAGTCTCCACCGACGTGCAGCAGGAGCGCGATTGTCTCTCACTCTCTCTCTCTCTGTCTCTCTTTCTGCACTGGAACAAACTTATCCCTCTCCACGTTAAGCGGTCGCCTTCGCTCACTAAAGTTTCCGCCCACGAAACACAAACTCACTCACTCTTTGGTTCTTTCGGTAAAGTCGCAGTAGGCGAATATAAAATACAAATAATAAAATAAAACTGAAAATAACTCAATTAAATCGCGACGTTTCGGAAACAACACAGTAAAAAAATTTTTGCTTTGGTTGTCCCACCTGATGACGGAAGCTTGTGTTGCTTCCGAAACGTCGCGATTTAATTGAGTTCTTTTCAGTTTTATTTTATTATTTGTATTTTATTTTCACCTACGCGACTTTACCGAAAGAACCAAAAAGTATGGATCCTTGCAGTCACGAAAACTTAAAATCTAGAACAAACTCACTTGTTACCCCTAGCTCAACCCCTTGATCTCCCTCTCTTAACCACCACCACCACTGCCACCGTTCCCTCTCCTCCACCATGCTCCGTTTGCGTGGCTTTCTTTCACTCGTTCACGCCGTTCATTCCATCCATTCGTCGTCAATTTATCTTTCGCCGAATTGACGACGAATCGTCACAGATTTGCCCACCTCATCTCCTCCAACTTGACAATCCGTGCGTTGTTGTGCCGTCGTCAATTCTCTTGTTAAGCGCCTCGGTTTTAAGGCGCTTGTTTAAATTACGCCGAGGTAAGACGAGCGATGTCAGCCGAGTCGCGATTTTTACGTCGTCTGGCTCGGCGACTATTCGAACGATCGCTTCTCGACACGAAGGCGTTTTTTTTCTTTTCCCGAGCGACGTTTTAAAAACGGCGAATGCGAGCGAATTGTTTGAACTCGCTTGCTGCAAAGTGCTTATCGCCTAATTCACTGCTGTTTGTGCCACTTAAATACGTTGGGGGGGGGAGGGGTGTGGGGGTCGTGAAACTGCGAAAGGTGATGTGCCACATTTACGTCGGCACGACGGGCACAGTATCTGGTCTGGCGGGCTCCTCGGCCCATCATCCCGCCGGGATCGATACAATAGGCACCAATTTGTGGGGTTGAGTCAACGGTGACTGTGCTGTGGACAGACTCGCCCCCGCGATGGGAATGTGGAATTTCAAATAAATCAAATTTCATTTATATATTTACAACACATTTATATATTTACGCGATATAACCCAAAAACCTGTGTTATGTATGTATTTTGAACTTGTTTTGCACTGTACGTAGCCAACTGCGCTAATCGGAGGTGCGGGGGGAGGACAACCAGCTCAACACAACAAAGCGTTTATCAAGAAATTCGTTCTCAATCTGGATGTTAAAGTGCATAGCTCCAGTGGCTTTATGATATCGGAAGGAATAACGTTCCAGACGTCCAAGTGACATGCTGTAGACATAGACGAACAGCACACGTGTCAATCCACTGCTAAACTAGGTCCTCTCCACGGCCGTGTGCGGCTCGTGAGACTTGCTTGACCATGCTTCACCACTCGCTGGTCGGTGCAGGCTTGGTGAATACGAGGGGACACGGATGCCGAGTCGTTCGCCATGTCTTGTGTGTGTGCACTCTTTATTTTTCAATTTCAGAACAACGTAAAACCCCGTCTCTAGCACTCTCCCCTCACCGCGGCTCTCGTGCCCGATGCTAACACTAAAACCATTTACTGCTGGATTTATATTATACCAGGTAAGGCCCACTGAGCCTATATATAGCTCTTTTTCAGAAGCGATCTGGCCAGAAATGATAGCTCAACATATTGACTCATCACGTGAACATTTATAGCAGCCAAATACTCTAAACACGTGACGTTGATTCTAAATGTGGTGGGGAAAACCGGAGGACCCTGAGAAAAATGCACGCGACCACGGGAAGAGAGAGACGTGTAAACTCCAAATATACAGGTGTCAGGGTCGGGATCGAACCCATGACTTATACTAAGCGAGGGAGTTAACGTCTCGCTCTCTGCCCGCTTGAACGTTAATGATTCGCCATCGAGGGGTCTGTAAGGCTAAGGTCCTCAACGACTGGACGGCCAGATGCATGTGGCAACGTGCGTGTGAACATCTGCGTTGCGCGTGAGCGCGTCGAGTATTTGTGACATGGTACACAACAATGCCTTTCGCTGAACCCGCCCCCTGATGCCCACGACGTAGCATAACCTCGAAGAAGCCAACAGCTACCTGGCATGTATGGTGACCGGCCCATCCTAACAACTGAACCTCATGGCGGGACCCCGGGGGTCCCATAAGCCCCCCGGCTCTCGCATAGACGCTTAATAATTTTGGCGTGGAAAGCCAAAAGGCTGATGGACTTAATATATGCTTGTGTACATGTGAACAAATAGTGCACCAATTTTGCTCTGGCAATGACGAGGCTGAGCGGTAGCGCATTTGCGGCTTGTTCCAGAGGTGTTCGTGATTGGAGCCCGGCAACTGCCCTGGTTAATACTCTGGGTGAATAAAATGTGAATACGTGCCTTCTACTTGACAGTGGACGTAAAGATCCCATTAAAGTATTAACAAAACTATCGGCCATCACGTATGCCGCTGTCATGGTCCAAAGTACCAAAATTAAAGCATTTACCCATAAATTACATAATTAAGAACCATCACTGTCATCACCCCAACTGCAAAACTATTGCAGACGTTCCCCGAGACACAGAGCGCCATTTTGTGATGGCATTGGCCTACACAAATCGCGCGTATACCACGTGTACTCATGGTTTGATTCAAATTTACAATCCGTGCTCGTTATGTGGAAAAACCCAGTCTCTGACTTTGCTTGTGTCTCTCCTCCCGTAGGCCGGCATGCATGGATCACTCGGCAACGAATGCACACCCATCGCCAGCTGCAGCTGCGCCAGCACTTCTGGCAGACGGTGAAGACGGAGCTCACCATGCCCAACTCCATCCTCTCCGCAATCCCCCAGGAGAGGTTCCTCCAACAGCCGCTCGATCACTTTGACCGCCGCACCAAAGAGACGTACAAGCAGGTGACGCCGATGCCCTCTGAACCCTTTCCCATTCCGAGACGTCGGCAAGTTGCAGAAGTTGGTGTCCCCCGTTCACCGCTGAGTCTTGGAACGCGCAAGTGGTTCGCGTGGATTTTATTGAGAGACACAGTAGTGCCGCTGTTTTTAAAGACACTATTCTCACCGCAGAAACTGTAACGACCGCACTCTATGACAGCTGAAAGGGTTCATATCCTTGTTCACCACTCGGAACCACCTCTCCCTAGGCCTGCTTCCTCGAGCTCAGCCCTTGGTGGTTTCATGTTCATCATCTTCCTTACCATTTTGTTTTTCCTCTCTTCTCGCGGCGTTCTCTAGCCATCTGTGTTGACTTGCCGTCAGCTTTTCCTCAGATCGCTATGATACGAAGGGGCTGTGGTGTTAAAAAAAACATATTTTGCCGCTTATTGCAAAGATCCACGGTTCTAACTTGGCAGGCCGCCTTGGTTAATCCTGCAGTTATATTAATGGTAAAATACTTGCTTTCTGCTTCACAGTGGACATTAAAGATCCTGTTGCGTCATTAAAAATAGTAGGCCGTTGTATGTCGGCATCGTGGTTCAATTATGTCAAATTTGTCAAAAACTGCCTGCAAATTACTCCAACGAGTTAGTGCAGTGATATCACCCTCGATTAAAATACTACAGGCCATGTCTGTGAATCATTGGACCGTCCTTTGTGACAGACTTACGCAATAAAAATGGCCTGCGTACCAAATGTACTAAAATTATTATTTAATGTTCGTAATTGTATTTGCCTGTGTTTGTGTGCATCCAGCGTTACTGGGTGAACAACATGAATTGGAAGAAACCTGATGGTCCTGTGTTCCTTTTCATTGGAGGAGAGGGTGCCCTGTCCGAATACGATGTGCTCGCGGGCAAGTGCAAACTTGACACACACACACACACACACCTTTCCCACACCGATACAAAGACAAATATCCCCATATATACTTTTAACAGACTGTTGGGGCAAGTGGTGTTAGCGAGCACTTACCAAGGCCGGCACGGCACAGGAGAGGTGGATGGTCAACACCATGCCTGCCCACCTTTGTCTCCCCAGTGCTGATATGTACGCAATGCACGAGGCGCTCCGTTAAGGCTGCGTCAACCTCGGAAGCCCCAGGACCGATTGATATATTCACCGCTGTTATTGGTGATGAGTGGGAATTGAACTTGGGTCTCCAGGCTCGTAACACTGTCCACTGACGCCGACACATCCATTTCCCACACAAGCAACGCAAACACGAACCCGCACTCGTACATATTGCATTCTAGATAAACAAATTAGATTATTATTATTATTATTAGAAATATCAATTCCAGTAAAATTAACAGCTTCAAGTTCCCCCACCAAACAGTACATGTGTCGCCTACACGTGACTCACAATATATTTAAATTATCCATGATTTAGGTTTTTTGGGTTACATTTACGCGATCTGTCTTTAAACCCGCCACCACCCGACACAGCCAATTACTAAGGTTTGTGACATAAACAAAACATGCCAATTCGTTACTAATACAACACACCAGTGTGTTGGAGAGAAAATCCACAACATTTACAATCTGAATACGACGTTTCGCCAGTAATTACAACTAGCTACGTGTTATATTAAAATTAGTATGTTGAACATGTTTGGTCAAATTTGATTGAACGTACATAGCTCACCATCATGACCACAGCCTCCCCACCAGGTCTTTCCGGTCAAAATGAGCCATTGGTCGACTGTGCACTATGCAATGCCTCGTGTGAGCAGCTCGACCGGCAGGGCGACTTGCAGTCGGGAAGCGAGGTTTCTGACACCAGCCGCCCCCCTCCCCACCCTGGCCGTGCCGCAGGCGAGCACGTGGAGCTGTCCGCCAAGTACGGCGCGCTGGTGGCGGCCGTGGAGCACCGCTTCTACGGGGAGAGCATCAACCCCGACGGCTTGAAGATGGAGAACTTGCAGTACCTCTCCAGCCAGCAGGCGTACGCATGCGCACCACTCGCCGGCTGCAGCACTCCTCGGCCGCATCACTCGGCAGCCACGCCAGTCACTGGCTGCAACACTCCCTGGCCACACCACTCCCCTGCCACACCACTCCCTTGCCGCATCACTGTTCCCGGACACACCGCTCTACGCCCATACCCCTCCACGGCGGCACCACTCTTCAGCTGCACCGCTCACCGGACTCGCCACTCTCTGACCGCAGAACTCTGTGGCCACACCGCTCTCTTGGCCACAGCAATCTTTAACCATGCCGCAATACTGACCGTGTGTGTGTTGTGGTGTGTGTGTGTGGGGAGCGGTACTGTAGCGGTTGGCGCGCTGTGCTATGAATCTGGCAACCCGGGTTCGATTCCCAGTGACGATTATCTGAATCGGTCCTGGGCCTCCCCTAGGTCGACTCCGCCTAAAATGAGTACCCGCCACTGGGGAGACAAAGGCGGTCGGGCGTGGTGCTGGCCACCCACCCCCTCGTGTACCGTTCCGGCCTTCATAGGTGCTCGCTAACAGCACTTGCCCCTACAGTCTGTTAAGGCTACACGGGGGATCTTTGTCTTGGTGTGTGCTGACTTATGTGTGTGCGACTGTAAATGTGTCTGTGTGTGTACTGACCATCGATGCAACATTTTGTCTGTCTTAGCCATGTCTAAGCGTGTTGGTGATGTCCATACACCCACGGCAGCCGCTGTTTGCCAGCCCATGCCAACTTTATTGTGTGGCCTGTTTACAGTTGGAGAACTTTGCCCTCGTGCAATGAACATTGCTGTGAGATATTGTCCCGTTGTGATGTGCTCTTGTTGCTCATGATTCAGACTGGCTGACCTGGCCTCCTTCCATGCTTACCTGGTGGACACTTACAACCTGACTCGGAATAACACCTGGATCTGCTTTGGGGGCTCCTACCCAGGATCCCTGTCCGCCTGGTTCCGACTCAAGGTATCGAGAACAGCTGCTTGACATTTAGCATCATTGCTTTGCGGTTTGCCTGCCCGTTGACTAGCAATGCGATATCTCTGAGCTTTACGGGTTAAAAAGAACGCGTAGGTTAATCGCGGTGGCGCTGAATGTCTCTTCGATGTGTTCGCGGGTTCTTCCGCAACTGAATTCAGGTCAGACGTCGCGAGTGAACATTTCAATCAGGGGACCACGAGTTGGATGGCAGTTTCCCCCAGGTAACCCTACGCACTGATCACACGCAGCTAATTTTCCCCTGATGATTGCGCCTCTGGTGCTTTTCGCAGTTTCCACATTTGGTGTTTGCGGCCGTGGCGTCGTCGGCTCCCGTGCGTGCCCAGCTCGACTTCCAGGGCTACAACAAGGTGTGTGTTGGGTGGTGTCACTTGGAGCTTTTCACTGGCACCGCGACGGATTGCAGAGGCGCATGATCTCCGAATAAAATTAGCCCGTCACTGAACTGCAGTCGTTGATAATAATAGAACGTGTTGAAAAAAAAACAGATTGTATTTCTACTCTCATCATGCTTTACCCTTTTATTGTTCAACATCGTGAAAATATTGTAGGCTGCCATGGTGGAATGGTCAGCAGACTGGACATTTAATCCAGAGGTCACCAGTTTGACTTTATTAGCACGGTTGGCTAAGTATGGTGCGAAAGAAGTTCAACATGCATACATCGCTCAGAGCGGCGGTTGAAACACCGGACATGTTTAGTAAATCCTAACCCCCCGGCAGCAGATATAATGTTTACACCACAGTTAGTTCAGGTCACGTGTTGTGGGGTAAAATGTGGGTGCTTCCACCTCTTCCAAGATGCCTTGCGAACATGGAAGAGTAAGTCGAATACCGTCTCGTTTAGAGGTGGCTCTCTGGAGTTCCCTCTAGTGGAGCCCTTTCCAGCAGCAGTGGCGTGAGCAGGCAAATTGCAGGGCTGGACCTCTATCTGGAATTAAAAGAGAGTGAACAGTTGAATGAGGCTCAAGGCACAAAAAGAGTTAGCTTATATTTTTGGCCGTGAGAAAGTTGTGCACCACTCCACTATCATCAGCATGCTTATTTGTAATATCGAAAAGTCATAATTGGGGATAACGAACTAAAGTATTTTTAAAAATTCTAATTGCTGACTCCGGACGATAATAATTACGCCCTTGCTTTTTGATGCTCTGATAAACTCGGGACACTTTTTTCTGGATGGACCACCGTGACGGGGATCGTGGGTTGTTTTTCCCGCAGGTCGTCGCTGCGAGCTTGGCAGACAAAGTCGTGGGAGGCTCCGACAAGGTGCAGATTTGCCTGGAGGGCAAAAACACAATTTTGGTTAAAAACAAGAAAAAAAAGGAGTAAAAACTTACAAAGTAAAAAAAAAACTCGTTTGCCTGGTTCTGCTGATAATAAACAAGTTAGGAAATATCATGCTTAAGCATGGGTCTACGTAGCACTATCCCACACGTCTCGTCTGCAGAAGTAATTAAATAGAATTCTGGAAGCTCATGTGCGGCTGTCAGAGCAAAATTCAGCTTATTTCTTGAAACACTTTCATTTCGCTCTGGTTTGGGGTTTTGTGCAACGCTTTGATCAATTTGCGAGGGTTTGAAGGCGGTTTGTCCCTAATAGGGACACAGCTTTGTACTACACTTTCAAAGAGAGCTAATGCATAAATACTGTCACCCAGAGTGAAAAAGCAATAAAAAATAAGATTGTAAGAATAAAAACGTTCAGATATGTGTTGGGATTGTGCCGCATGTTGAGCGGCAGGATGGCCGATGGTTAGCTCCATGTGCTGGGAGCTTCTTCAGCAGCTAAGTTTATCGTCGGAATTTACGTGCAGCTCCTGAAGAACATGCAACCACGTGGGTCGAAACGTTCGGAACATTATGCCGAAGAACGTGTGGTGGTACAACCCGAAAACACGTTGGAGAGTTTTAATTATTGCTACGGTATTATTTTTGAATGTGAAAATGTTTATTCGTTAGCTGCCCGTCCGTAATGGGGTGCCAGCGATAACCCTTGTAAACTCCAGCCAATAGGAATCAACGTGGAGCATTCAGGTGTCTCTATTTGGACCTTACTCGATAAAAATGATGCAGTTTTATCAAAGGGCTCCTCAAAACACATTAGAGAGCTATACAACACAACCGCAGACTTACTGGATTCTGTATTGAAGATGCCAGATACAGTTTCAAGCCAAATGTAGCCTCTTAATTGCTAAATTTGCTTCTGCGAATTATTCAGCCCGGCGGGGAGCTGAAAAAATAACAATTTGCGTGTTCAATGCTCGTACACCACTCGAAATATCTAATTTGTTTGGCCACATTCCATGTTCGATTATGGAGGATCTTACAACATGCATTTGCCCACATCATTACCTGGCTTAAGCCACAAATCGATTACGAATCACGACATTGACTGCAAAAACCAACGTGTTTTGTGGGGTTTAAAGGGTTGCCCGAAACACATCGGAGAGCTGTACGGCTTCGTACGCGGGGCAGCACAAAAAAAAAAAACTTAATGTCGTTTTTTGTTTTGTCAACAGTGCTTGTCCCGAGTCCGCGAAGCATTCGCGACCGTTGATGCGAAGCTGACCGGAAAAGAGTTATCGGGCCTGGAGCGAGATTTCAAGTCGTGCGTACCGTTCGCCGGCCCTGACGATCTCGCGCTCTTCGCCAGCAACCTGGCCGACATCTTCATGTCCGTGGTTCAGTACAATCGCGAGATGCCCAACTCTGACATCCGGGCCCTGTGTGCCGCGATGATCGACACGGGCAAGAGTGCCTACCAACAGCTCGTCGCCCTCAATGAGGTTCGAAGCGCTGTGCATTTTTTTTTTTAATTCACGACACAAACCAACTATGGTTTACGCGCGAGCTGCGCCCACCCGTCTGTCGTGATCACTCGTAAAAAGGTGATCAAATGTGAATTTTTATTTTACTATCAAGTCGTGTTGCTATCGGGGACTCTGTAGAAAACCGGCCAAAATTATCAAAAGGTTTGTCCAAAACTTGGCGATAAAATTCCAGCGCCACATTGAAAATCCACTTTCTGGACCCAAAGGCGATGACGTTACAATCCATGCGCGTGCCTCGCTTCCCTGCGACGTCAGGATGTGTGACACCACACATCCTGACGTCGCAGGATGCGATGTGCTGCTCAGAAGGTAACGCATGTTGTGAAGCGTTAGAAAAATCCATGCGATAATTTTCATCGAGGCTCTTTTGCCAGCGGGCAGAGATTCTGTCTTTAATCAGCAGAGGGCATCCACTTTTTGTGTTTGAGCCACACACAGCATTTTCATCAAAACACAGATGTGCTCCATGTGACGTCAATGTACCTGCTTTAGATTGGTACCCCGCCGAAATTGTAGATTTAAACTAACAGAACACCTGGCGCACACAACGCACGTGGCAGACAGGTAAAACAAATGGAGAAGCTTCCCTTTAAAGTCCTCTCCAACACACGTGTGTGAACGGTTTGACCCTTTTGTTAGACCAGGTGAGAGCAGAAAATGAGACTCGTCTCTTTCGAAAATAAACTGAAAAATACGTATAGGTGCGAGTAGAAAGCACAGGGTATACTGCTTACACGTATAACATTTAAATAATATTGAGTTTTTCACGCGTATATGTCTTTGTGTGTGTATATAAAAGGCTAAAGACGTCTGTACTCAATCAACTATACCTCCCGTAACAATATATTTTATACGTCTTGCCAATTCGGATTGTGGTTCGATTTTCCACCACAATTACCCACCCCGCGTACTTTATACACGTGTACGGAGACGGGGGCGGCCCTGTGTTCTAACCGTTCAAACCCGTGTACGTTTGTGTGTTGGCCATGCAGAACTACTTGAGCATCGAGCAGCGGAATTGCTCCGACAATACTTACGCCAACTTCATCGCCGACTTGTCGAACACGACCGCGACCCGGGTCGGCGTGGGCATGCGCCAGTGGACCTATCAGACCTGCACCGAGTTTGGCTACTGTGAGTAGGGGGCGCCACGGTGGCGAGATGTTAACTCCCTCGCCTGGTGTACAGGAGGTCACGGGTTCGATCCCGACCCTGACGCCCTTTATATTTGGAATTTGCACGTTCTCCCCGCGGTCGCGGGAATTTTTCTCCGCAACCTCTGCTTTTTCCCTCCACATTTAGAATTGCGCGTTTAGAGTATTTAGTTGCGGTACATTTTTCACATGGTAAGCCACTTCATCGAGCTGTTATTTGTGGCCAGGTTGCTGCTGAAAAAGAGCTACATAGCTCAGTGGGCCTTACCTGGTAAAATAAAAATTGTTTGGTTTAGTTTTAGTATAATGTGTGTGCACTTCGCACCCATGTGATCTGTCATCATCAGTCATGATCAGTCCACTGCTGGATTAAAGCCTAACCCTGCTGCCGCCATCTCTCGTGGTCCTGTGATATAACGATCCGTCTAGAACCTGCATACGAGGTGATTTCATCGTTCAATCTCCATCGTGGACGTGCTGTCCAGGAGCATTCCCTCCATTGGCTGCCACTCCTTGCTTATTCTTGCCCATCAGACGTCAGCCCTTCTAGTGACGTCCTGCCCTAGCTATGCCATAGAGGTCATACATTTTATTTAAAACCACTGAAAAACTTGAAGAAATGTGACACCACATAGTAGGCATGTAATAAGGCACCAAATTAATCGATTATTATTATAGTTGGCCCTTACACTCTTAATGCATGAATCATGTAAGACTCAAATCGGTAACATTGTGTGTAGTGAAGAAATCGAGACAGAAAGGAATGCAAAGAATACAAGAAAGGTGATAAAAATCAGACATAACCACAACCCTGAATCCTTAATCACTGGGCAATGAATGCGCGTGTGCCCCATGCTTTCTTACAATATTTCCTCTATATGTACACGCTGGTGCGGTAAAACTGTTAGCAAGTTTACTTTATGGCAAACATGGCACGTCAAGGAATGGTGTGGCCAGCACATTCACCATAGCCGGTGATGTCCACTCTGAGCACCTGGTACTCATTTTAGGCTGAATTGTCCTAGGTAGGGCCCTTGAAAGGTTCAGATGTTAATCGTCATTGCTGTTATCCATAGCCTTGGAATCAAAGCCAGAGCCGCGGGAATTATAGTGCAGTGTGCAAACCACCCAATGCCCCCACTCCACACAAGCCCACGTGTAGTTAATGGGCCAGAATTGAAATTAGTACCACCTGTGATGGCAAAACAATGCTGTCTGTCTTTATATGTGACCAATAAAAGCAAATTAATATCTGATGACATCACTTATTTTAAATGGTTATCATATTGTTCATGTTCCAACATTTCTCATGGTGCCAAACATCGGAGTTACTGACGTCATCTCCAATGTGAAAAAGTTAATTTCCATTCCTGATCCTTGGCCGGTGATGTTCGCCCCTCATCGCCGATTTGATGTCCCTCTTGAGGTCCAGACTTAATACCTCCTTCTCTCCTCTACCGTTGGCTTCGTCAATTCTTAAGAATGCTCTCTTCCTCAATTATTCACCACCCATTCGCCCTTCCATCTCCATCCTAATCGGAAAAACCTCCCGTTTTCGCTCCGGTTTGCGTAAACGGGACGTGCCGTTGCACCGCAGTCGAAACGCACCGCAGTGCCGTTTCCCGCGGTAAAGATTGAATTGCGCGCTCGTGTTTTTTTTTTGTCGTTGTGAGTTTGCGTTTATTTACTTTGTCTGAATGTACTGCTGACGTTTAACACGCTTGCCAAGTGCAGCGTCTAGAGACGCTTGGATATTCAGACGCTATCCATGCCGCCACGGTTTTGCCGCTGGACGTGGAACCGTCGAAGTGAAAATTATCTGATTTGGACTCTTGTGCGAATGCGCACAACGCGGTGCATTTTCTTTAGAAGTGCAGAGGGAGAGGCACCCGCGTTGGCTCAACGCCACAATGTACAGAGGCCTCTGCCTCCGGGATGCTCTGAATGCGGTCGGGTGGTTATTCATGATTTTGTTATTTTTCCCAGTTGCACGACATTTGGGATCCTGCCACAGTGGAACGTTTAGCGCAACGGGAATTCGGAGGTCGCCGGTCCGATTTCCATCTTCCGGCACGGCAGTTGAAATCGTTTTTTTTATATCTCCCCGGCAGATTGAGTGTGATGGAAGAGGGTGGGGGGGGGGGGTATAGTGTGGGCTACTACCTCCTCTTTCAAAACGCCTGGTAAAGTGTGAAAGAGTTGGTCAAATAAGTTCTAAAGAGGCTGTCCAGAGCTCTCTCAAGTCGAACAAGCAATTGCAGGCCTGCCCGTTTTGCCATTACATTGCGATTGCGCTATCGCCCGCATGTCATGAGGCGAAGAAATTTTAATTAGGAATGCAGCGGCTGGGAGTGCGTCGCCCCGTGTCAGAAAATGGACCCGGAAATTGACTTCACCGTGCAACTTCTGAAGTCACTTAAACAGGCCTCTTCATTCGCACCTTTTGTATACACTGCCAAGAATGTCCGTCGCACGTCAATAAAAACCGAAATTACGTTTAAATATTAGAGCTGGAATTTTAGCCAAAATTAATTAAAGAAAATATTAATTAAATGCGATTTTGATTTTTTTTTGCTTGCGCAGATGTCAGTGAGACCATCAACTCGCTACACTTGAGAACCTCCATTTAAACATCTAAATGTTCCAAGCTTCCATCCCAGGATCTCAGTGGTGCCTGCTCGTGCGATGCCACTTGGGGTCAAGCGTTTTTATCCATCCGTCTCTCTCTCTCTCTCTCCCCGGCATGTGCGTGTGTCTGCGCGCGCGATCCAGACCAGACGTGCGTGAGCGAGCGCGACTGCCCCTTCCTGCAGCTGATGACACTGAGCTGGAACCTGGATCTGTGCGGCCGCGTCTTCGGCGTGGACCCCGCCTCCGTCGCCAGCGCCGTGCGCTTCACCAACGAGTACTATGGCGCCGACCACCCCCGCGGCAGCCGCATCCTCTTCGTCAATGGTGCGTCGCTCGTCCTGCCGTCCGCTCGTCCGACTGTCCGCTCGTCCGACCGTCCACTCTCCGTTTATTTAAATTTCCGGAAGTCTTCTGCTCTTTAACGTAACGCAAAGGACCCAGTTAATGTTTTCCAGAGTAAATATTTTAGAATAGTGTATAACTGTTTTAAAGCTTTCGTGACTGCAGTAATACATAATCTTAGCTCTTTCGGTAAAGTCACGTTATTTTATTGTTTCCCTTCAACGTGACTTTACCGAAAGAGCTAGGAATATAGTGTATAACTGTTTTGTGGCTGTCAATCCACATTAATGTTTTTTAAAGTATGATTTAGAGGGTTTTAAGATCCACCTTCTCCCCTCCCACACCTCCACCCCGGTCGATGGATTGTCACAGTTCTGGGTGGGATTCAATTCAACGTTCGTTTTTTAATTTTACAATCGTGAACGTGGTGTCCAGTCGTGGCTCCAGGTGTTACACGAACCCATTACAACGTATATAGAAGGTAAAGGTGGTAAAAGGTGCAGCCCTGCAATTACTCATGAGCACTGCTACCAGAAGGGCCTCCACTAGAAGGAGGCCTGCTCTTTGATGCTGGCCAGAGATCTTGAAAGAGGTGGGGAGTAGCCACACTTTACCCCACCACACGTGCCAATAGACTTATTGCGGTGAACCCATTTATACTGCCGGATGGACAGCTGCATTAGCATCTTGCAAGTCAGTTATGCTAACCGTCATTACACAACAGCAGCATCCTCGTAAATGTAAAACTCCTCATTATACAAACATCAATTCTTAAAACGCAATTCATTCCATGCGTCGTGACCTCAAAAATCGTTATCAAATTGACTATTCGTTGCGTCGTTCCGCCCACGGTGTCATTCTCGTCGGTGTTATTTTCCGCGCGCAGGTGACATCGACCCCTGGCACGCTCTGAGCGTCCTGCGGAACGAGACCCGTTCGGAAGTGGCAATCTTCATCAACGGCACGGCGCACTGCGCCAACATGAGTCCCACCTCTCCCAGTGATCCTCCGTCCCTCACGAACGCCCGGCTGGTGAGTCCAAGCTGCGTCACGCGCAACGGACGCGCCATTCGCTCCGTCTCTGGCGCTGCGTTGCCCCGAGCCAGATGCGGGTGCATTACGAGGCCAGCACGTCACGGTCTGGGTCCGGTTCGGCACGGCAAATAGGCGGCGAGTAACCAGCCGCACTTGCGCGGCCCTCGGGGCTCGCTCCGCTCGCCGGGATGTTCTGGCCGGGATGGCCTCCGTAACATCGTCGCCAAAGGGGATACGTCCTGCAACAAGAATCGTCACCACCACCACCACCAACAACAACACCGCACGTCACCTCGCTGGTCAGCGCGAGTTTGTGTGGGGCGAGCAGGATAGATGTACAGTACAACAAATGGATTTTGCCACGCCCGGCTCCTGCTGCCCACCGCGTAGCCGCGCCGTAGCCACAAGACACGTTGGTTGCACGCGGTGGTCACCCATCCGGGCTCAACCACGGTTAGCTGCTGAGATGTGGCGCAATCGGGCTGCATTCCAGGTTATTTGACGCCACAGTGGGAACAAAAGGGTTTAGTCGGCTGAATATGAATCGCCTCTGAAAGCAGCCACTCCTGTTTTCCACCTCAAATAGACTTCAGGGACCCGGTGTGCAAGCCGGTAACGTCACCGCACGAAACCCGTTCACCATAAAAGGAGAGGTTTGCTAATCGCAGGTGATTGGGTTTGTGCACTGGCTCATAATTGCGTATTCCCTCGGTAATTCTACCACTGGTTGTTTCACATCTGACTTTCCAAAAAGCAGGGTTTATATGTGACTCTCTGCGGCAATTAAAGGGCAACTGTGAGAAACGGTAGCACCCTTGCAAAGCCGGCTCGATGGAATGTGTGTACGTGCCGCGAGATAGCCGGTAGGAGGTTAACCCTGCAGAGGTATACGAATGGCTCAAGGATTTTAGAATTTTGGTGACTATTTTGTTACATTATTTTGCTTTGCCTTGCACACTTGCAATTGCAATTAAGTATGTACGTTGTATGTTCTCGGTATACGTCACCCATCTCACCCACTCGTAGAGGTTACGTTCACTGCAGCGGCAAAGAAAATAGATTCCTGAGCAAGCAATGTGATGTAGCCATGGACAATTATGCATTCATTTTTACATGTCGTTGGATGTGCTATTCATTGTTTATGCATTTATTGCATAATTTGTAGATTTATGTTTGCTGCCTTCATCTCAATTCGTGCTTGCCATGTGCCTGTTTGTGTGTCAGTTAATACCCTGGGCACCCTTACAGATGATATACTGCAGGTTAAATATATCTTCATAAATACAAAATAAAATAAATCGTGTAATTACTTGGGTGGGGAGGGGGTGAATCAACTCTCCAACCCAGCCATGTATCATTTTAAAAAATGTTATCGATATATCGGTGGTAGGTGGATTACTGCATGACTGTGACAAGACTATGGGCAGCTTGAGAAGGCACTCATCGTGCAGAGGATTAATTATATCTGATGATCATTACATATTGTTTTTATTATTCAGCCCAGTCACCAATGACTGCACCCAAACACCATCACAGTGACATTTTTATTCATCACTTTGCCTTTATCTCTGAGAATGGAAATATTAATGTGACTGCCGTGCAATAAATATTTCTCCAGCGGGACGTTGTAGAGAAAGAGCACACCCTTGTGTGTGGAGTAAAAGGGTCACTCTAAGGGATTTCAATAGCAGTTCTACGAAATCCTCTTCTGTGGGCAGTTATCTATCACATGGGGTGTGCGCTGCTCAGCGAGAGTTTCCGTGTTGATGATGCAACGGCATCAACACGATTGGAATAAAAGTGGTAGGGGAAAGACGGAAGAGAAATTATCAGAGGATCCAAACGTTTGCGATCCGTCAAATGCTGCACACGTAACGTGTCTTCGTTTCCTTATTTTTCGTTTTGCAGAAAATTGACGAGCAGGTGGGCGATTGGCTGCATCAGGCGAAGCGTCGCCAACTCCTCTGACTCGGAGCCCCGAGTCCGTGTTGAGGTTTGGGTTTACGAGTCGCCTTCCACCGTCCCCCACGTGGAGTCTGTCCCCACCTTATGCTCGCACAGCGTTCTTGTAAGGGAGAAGCCATCGAGATTTTCCCCGGGTTGATTTTGCGATTTTTCTCACTGCAATCGTGCGTTGTGATGACGTTTTGTAAATACCTCGTGAATTTGTTTTTGCTTTTTTTTGTAATTGACACCTTCTGATTGCTGTGGTATGCTTTGGTATTGTCTGCTTTATCGTCAAGTCTGTGTGCACTACTGCGATTTTAAACGGCGCTAAGAATAAATAAAAGATTGATATTTTTCAAAAATGTGTAATATTTATTTTTAAAAAATACTTCCTAGTACTGTGATAAGAGTGCAGCACGTGTACGTTAGTACAAACCCCACGAATGCATTTGTAACGGTTTCCAACTCGGGATGAAATTGTGAATGCATATTAGCTCCATCACTGTCCATCTGTCTGCTCGTAATACGTAGTCGCATTCACGATGATCCAGTATGAGCGAACGCTTCGTTCAAAGTTGTGTTTTTAATTGAAGACAACTGAAACTGGCCAAATAGATGTAAGGGTTACCCAAAACATGGGAGACAAAAACAATTCCAAGAGGCCTTTATAAATACGTAATCACATTTTGCCCCCTCCGCTTGCATACTGCTAACGATGAATTGCCCAACACAAACGCATGTCGGATATGGTGGCGACGTTGGTTGAGTTGCGATCTCACGGAGGTCAGTGCGGGTTGGCAAAACGGGCCGAGTGGCTCGGGACCACTTCAGATGTCAATCGTCACTGACGTTAGCCATGTCTGGGAATTGAACTCAGTTTGCTGGGCTCATAGATAACCTCTGTACCACCACTCTACATCGCCAGATGTACAGTACTGCATGGGAGACGCAGGATACGTAATCAATGATTATTGTTGTTGCTGAATTGTAACACCCATGTATAGCGCATATGGTTGCAGCTTCAAAATTACAAAAGCATTGATTGTGAAATATACATTTGACGACGCATCATCAACATAACAAGACGGGGGTCACATTAAGCTCACGTGACCAAAGATTTCCAACGTCAAAAAGACGGATCGCTGAACTTAATTGAGCTTGTCGTGAAAGGTTGTTTATAATGCCCATTGTATCCGTCTCATCTGATCTCACAAGCTAAGCAAGCTGAGGCCTGGCCTAGTGCTTGAATGGGCGGTCGCCTTGCGCAAAAACGGTTGCTCCGGCTGTAGTACATTGTCAGCAGAGGGCAGTGCAGCCAGATCCATTGTGCTGTACTATCCGCCTCGCCACCCCCAAACCCACACTGACCAGTATGGTGAAGTATGGTCAATGAGCTCTCACGACTCGCGTTGTGGGTGTGCCCTCATCAAGCACTGCATTAACCAAAGGGCTGTTGTGCACGCAATATATTCTGGCATTTTGCACATCTGAATTTCCAAACATCGTTTCACAAACGCTGCAAGCATCGTTTCCATTTTTGGGGAGTCTTTTGGCACTTGAAGCCTGCTTCACAGTTTCGGTGACCTTGTGGTTTTTATTTTCGCCCAATAATGTCCGCCGTTGGAGGAGAGAGATATTTGGAATTCCGCTGTCTGTTGAGTGGCTTAGTCTCCATACCGAAGATAATTTCCAGGGTACATTCAACCATTAATCCCTACTTTTCTTCACTTGTTCGGTCTGGATTGGTGAAAATTACCACGCAGAGTCTACTGTGTACGGCTCGAGCCGAAGATTGATGCGTTGCACATGGTTTGCTTTTTTTTGCTTCTGAACAAGAGCCATTCGTTTCGAAAACTGCTTTGCAGTCATGTGATTGCACCCACCCACAAGTGATGTCATCTTTTGGCAAAGCCGCCTGCCGGGATGTCGAAGCCTGCTTCTTTTTCCCTTTGCTCAGCCATTCGTCGCTCTCGCTCTGGAATCGCCACGCGATGTGGAGAGATGGGATCGTTGCCAGTCCGCAAAGCTTAAATATGCCCACCCTTAGCACTTAGAAAATTGCTAACGATTAAATATGCCCAATAAACATTTCTTAATGTTTTTTTTTTTGCCGATGATCAAATCAACCAAAATGGGCCCAATTTCATCAGTGGATAGACAAAAGGGCTTGACGTGCACACGTGGTTTATTTGTGCACCAACCTAATTATCCTGATGGCTTACGCCCACGCACGGCTTCCAGTGAAGCATTGTTAATGAACACTGAGTAATTAAACGTGTACCCACTTCTGGCCAGCCAGCGGCAAATAAATGGCAATTTGACCACTTGGCATGGGCGAAAGTGCAGATACTCAGGCCTCTTCCATGGTGTCTGAACAGTGTGGAAGAGCAGGCCAAGTACCCTCTCGAGGGCATGCCCTTCTGCCAGCAGTGAGAAAGTGCGGGGATGCACCTTAATCTCTTTTGCCGCACGTCTCGCGGTCTCCGAGCGGCCCGATTGAGCTGTGGAGGGGTTAACGGGGAACCTTTCCGTTCACATAAATCGCAGTTGGCGCGCACCGCTGACCCCCACCTGCTGTAGAGATTCGGCGTCAATCGGACACGCGTGCCGCAGTCCGGCAACAACCATCCTTGTCGTCTCGTGCCGTTCTCTTGGCTTTTTTCCCACCCACAGAGGGTGGGCGGCGTGAAAGTGCCTCGCTCCAACTCGCCGTCTCTCCGCATCGCCAATCTCCGCCCGCGTTGTCAATCTCTGCATCCCCAATCCATCGCTTCGCTCGTGCCTGGCGGTGCCGTGGTCTCGCTTCCCTTCCGCCTACTTTGAATCGATGGGTCCGATTGTTGTCGCTCTGATTCGCGCTTTCAAACGATCCTCTTCTTCGTGACGCACACCTCTTCCACAAGTGGCAAAAAAAATGACCCGCAGTGCGACCGCCACCACCCCAACCAATGGCTCGTACCACGAACGACCTGCATTGTACGGCGGCATGGGCAGCATTACACGAGCTACTCCCGAAGCTGTCGCACGGCTCACATGCTTAATACCCAGAAGAAGTATTTACACATACTTGCCATACGCTGGAAGAAAAAGTGGGTGAATCATCCCGTGGAAAATATAAATCTGCGAGTTAAAATGCAAACAGTCCAAACGTGTTGTTGATTTCAGGATCTACATTGACACATTAACATGGAGTCTTGGCACAGCGGTTGTTAGTGCGATACACTATGAACCTGGTGGCCTAAAATCGATTGCTGTCCAACAGGAGTGATATATCTCAGCCAGTCCTAGTCACCCCCTTCACCAGCCCGTACTGACCAGTGTAGTGAAGTTTGGTTTTATAAGTCCCACGACCGACCAATAGAATGGGGAGGCCTTCACCCAGAAGTGGACTGCCAAAGGGTCGCAGATGTAGTTGTATTTTATTATGGACACTCATAATTACATATCATGGGGGAGATGTGAATGGATGATGGGAATATCGCTCAGGGAAAGGGGTTGGAATGAAGAAGCCCTAGTAGGGGCTACGAATAGTATCTGTAAGTTAAGGAAGGCTCACTGTGTTTGAAAGAGACAAATAAGATGCATTTAGAAGGGCTATGGAGGTTAAAAACCATAGATTACCATACAGAACCATGGGCTTATACAGAGACCCATAGATTAGAATGGCTAAGTAGACGCCACTGGCACAGCGCAGGAGGAGTCGAGGGAGATTGGGAGGTGGTGAAACGAGATATGAGGGCAGTGGACATGATAAGAGAGGAGGCACAACATAAAAGCATGTGGAGAAGAAAAATCTAAGCAGCCGATGCCATGTGACCAATGAGATTTTCTGGCTTGGAAGAAGACTTCAATGCCATATTAAAAGGGCGACATCCAAAGATAATGAACACGTGGGACTGCTGTGTTACAAGACATTGTCAGGCACAAGGGAGGCATTTAGACTGCTCTGCAGACTCCTACGCATTCCAGTCCGCGTGCCAGGAAGCCTTGAGCATGATTTCAGGTCCCCGCATAGCATGATGCACGATTCTTTCTCGTGGAATGTGCAGCGTGCACGTTATAGTTGCCACGTGCAGCTCGGTTGTTGCCGTATTCTCCCGTTTATAAGACGCTCCGGGAAAGTAAGACGCACCCCAAACTTGTGCCCGGTGTCAATTTACAGAAATTTGGTGATACGCAGACACATCTATCAGATTATAAGTATGCACCCAACAACTTTTGCTTTCAAATAGAGGGAAGTGGGTCTTCATCTGGAGAATACGGTAGTATACTGTTTTTTCGAAATCCCTCAGTCCCAAGAAGAATCAGGAGAATACTCAGTTACAGACATATTGCGAATTCCATCGATCGGTGTTTGGCTTGCGGAAGGAAATCTGAGCATCCAGAGAAAATCAACTCATTCGAGGATGTAACACCCAAAGCACCGCGCAGATAGATTCCAGATTCCGTTGCTGTCATGGCCAATACGCAGCTCAAGCGTCTGACGCCTGCCCTCTCCAAATAGTCACTCGGCTCTACGGTAACCAGGCCCAAAGTCCTGCTTAGCTTCTGGGATCTGACAAGATAGGACAGGCTCTACGGTATGAAAAAAAGGTTATCCCGAGATAGAGCTGCTCATCCCGAGCGAGTAATACTGGGAAACGTGCACTGCCTTTGTACGAGTCGCCTATGGGCGTCGTTCTCTGGTCTGACACTGGTGAGACTAGGCGCGTGGTTAATGCAGACTTAATTCCTTGACAAAGGCATCTATTTGGCGTTGTGTATTCTTGTCAGAAAGGGTAAAACCTATTCTTATTTTTTATACTTTCATATTGGCAAAAAGGTCCCATGTGATACAATGAAGGGAAAAAGTATTTGATCCCCTGCTTATTTTGTACGTTTGCCCACTGACAAAGAAATGATCAGTCTCTAATTTTAATGGAAGGTTTATTTGAACAGATCAAGAACAAAAAAAATCCAGAAAAACCCATGTCAAAAATGTTATAAATTGATTTGCATTTTAATGAGGGAAATAAGTATTTCACCCCTCTGCAAAACATGACTTAGTACTTGATGGCAAAACCCTTTTGGCAATCACAGAGGTCAGACGTTTCTTGTAGTTGGCCACCAGGTTTGCACACATCTCAGGAGGGATTTTGTCCCACTTCTCTTTGCAGATCTTCTCCAAGTCATTAAGGTTTCGAGGCTGACGTTTGGCAACTCGAACCTTCAGCTTCCTCCACAGATTTTATATGGGATTAAGGTCTGGAGACTGGCTAGGCCACTCCAGGACCTTAATGTGCTTCTTCTTGAGCCACTCCTTTGTTGCCTTGGCCGTGTGTTTTGGCTCATTGTCATGCTGGAATACCCATCCACGACCCAT